CGTCGACTATTAAATCAGTCGTCGACGATTTTGATAGTCGACGTAATCGTGGCAGCCCTAGTGGCAACATAACGGTGGCAACAAAGGGCCAAGTAGGTCTGGATATCTCTGGAAATGCTGTACTTTGATTTACTTGAGGTATCATTGTCTAATATTTTTCTTAACACCCCCTCAACCCCCCAAAACAAGACCTCCAGCAGCACCAGGCTCAGGGAGGGGTCATCTGCTGCAACTGGTTGGGGGAGAGGGGAGGAAGGCGGGACAAAGACATGCTGTAGTAGAAAGCCAGAGATGAATAATAACTACTGATTGAATGCAAAGAGGTGTACAACCACATGATGAGTGAGGAAAGGTGACTGAAGAAGAAACAACAAGTGCTGAAGCCGAAACAAAAGCAGAAATGAAAATGCTTCACAGCCCCGCAGGGTTTAAAGAAGACATCTGCAATATTTACACAGTTGCTCATCTTGTTCTTTCAGAGCCAAACATTTGCTCACACGATCGTCTGTTTGTTTGATGACTGCAGCTCAGAGCTCGGATAACTTAAAACAAAGAACTGGATGAACAGCACCACCCACAGGCAGGGAGGAGCAAAAGCACTGCAAATGTAGGTCACGAGTCATACGAGCTTTGTTTTATTGTTGAGTGATCATATTTCTAAATCACACCAATTTAATTTCCTTGAAAGGCCTTTTAAAAAAATAATATGGTGACTTTGTTGTGACTTATTCATTCTTTTCAAAATACCGTTATAAGTGTTTAAAACGACTCTAATGAATGATTAAGGCTGAATGTACAGTCGGGCCCTCCTCTCATACAGTCAGTTTAATAACTGTCCCGTGGTTGTTTGGATCGGACTTTATCCCTGTGAAGTTGTGCACATGCAGTTAGACCTGATGTAACTAGTTGCCTGAAACTGTATCTCAGGCTGTTGTCTCATGGCGTGTCTTTGACGCCATGAGACAACATTTTGTACATTGTGTGACGAGTTGAGATACAGAGCATCATGGCCGAGGAAGGGCAGAGAAGGGATGAATAAGAGCTTTACAAACTGAAGAACTGATAAGCTGACCTGCTTCTTCACAGCAGGAGTGGTTTTGCATAGATGTCCATTTAACTGTAAAAGCAACTTCTGTAAATGTTATTGTTCATTTAAAAATAAGGACATTCAGTGCTTGTAT